AACTGCTTTTTAATTTGGCTTCCAGAATTAAGACTAGTCTGGTTTACCGTGTGTGATTGAAAAAATAATGCCTCCTGCACCTTGCCTTTATGAAAGGAGACAATTCTCAGTATTTAATATTAGATTAGTGATAGCAATTCTTGATTTGTCCAGAAGCCTTCGTGCCCTCTCAAATTTCAGTTTACTCTCTTTGGTGAAAACTAAGGCTCTACAAATCATTAATGTATCAGTTCAGGAACCCAAATGAAAAACTGAAAAAAACTGGTTTAGACAAAAAACCATTTAGGGCACCTATACATGTGCAGGGAGGCTGTGCATCGGAGCAGGCTCGATTCATCCCTCCCACTCCTGGAGCATGTCTATAAGGGTCCAGTGCCACAGTCCATTTCTCTACATTTGGAGAGTCAGAACTTCATTTCATTTGCTTTTCTTACAGGTCTGTGAAATGAAACCTTTCAGGTCAAACCATTTTTCCTCATTTCAATGAGAAAAAACCAAGAACCTAAGGGTGTTTATAGATGTGTTCCAGGAGTTGGGGGAAGGGGGGGTGAATCGAGTCTGCTTTGATGCTCTGTAATTATAGTGTGTCAGAGCAGCCTCCCTGCCAGACACCAGGGTTAAAATGCCATCCTCAGAGTGAGGGGGAGGCATGGGGGAGGAGGTGGGTGGTGGAGATGCTGGGACAGTCAGGAAAGGAGCACTTTTGTGCCTTCTTGTTGAAGTTGTTTTACATTTTTTAAACCAAATTTGTTGGAGCAGAAATTTGAATCAAGCTGTCTCTCCAAGCTCCCTTGAGAAAGTCATAACTACTTGGCTAGAAAATCACTTCGCTCACTTGGTCTCTCTCTCAATGGGAATTTAGTATCACATCTGGGGTAAGCTTTCTGAAAAGGGTCCAGTGCCACAGTCCATTTCTCTACATTTGGAGAACCAGAACTTCATTTCATTTGCTTTTCTTACAGGTCTATTAAATGAAACATTTTGTGTCAAGCCATTTTTCCTCATTTCAACGAGAAAAAAAACCATCTAAGGGTGTTTATGGATGTGATACTAAATTCCCAATTGAGGCAGAGACCAAGAGAGTGAAATGATTTTCTATTATGACTTTCTCGGGGGGGGTGGCACACAGCTTGATTCAAATTTTTGGTGCAATATGATTTGAAAGTGTTAAATCTCAATTTTTTAAGCTTTTAGATTTCACAGATTCAAAGGTATCTCAAGACTTCCAAGGTTTGGATAAGTAGTGATATCCTCCTGTATCTGCAGATAGCCTGAAGAACTGCTCTGAGACTGCCCCAGGCACTTCAGCAGGTGGGGAAATGGAGTCTCATTGACTTCCAGCAAAAGAAGCCCCCTTATTTCTATTATCCCACTCAGTGCCTTTCACGTAGAGCAGATTGGTGAACCCAAAAAATAGTGGTGCAGGGCCTGGTGGATCGAGCAGCACAACAGATAACTCATGTAGAAAACCTTGGGATTAAACGCAAACAGAGGCAGAGACCCTTTGTGGGTATATGTCGAAGATATTTTGCTTCAACCCAGCACAGGATGGCTTCACTGGCTCCCACTGCTTTAATGATCACCAATACCTCAATAACTCCTTAACTTCTGTCTTTGATCTGATTTCTCCCCCTCCATCTGCAGTTGTTTTTTCTAACATCTAAATGTCAATGTCCAGCTACCAAAAATGTCAACATGGTAAACAGTCATCCCAATATTCCACTTCTATTAAACTTCATCACCTACTACCTTTGACTTCTAATAACTTTAACTCATGAAGACTTGCTATATCATATTCATCTCTCCAAAATCCAGCCTGTCATTAAATCGTGTCAGTAATTTTATACTGCTCCAAAATCTGTATTTTTTCTTATACTTCTGATTATACAGCACTGTTATAACTCTGGACCCCCCCTTGTCAATCTCATCTTGATTACTGAAACATGCAGTGAAACGTTGAAATCACAACTCTTGAATGCTTGGGATCGAAAATACTAAATTTGTTGGGAATAATTAAATAATTTTCAGTGCTTTTGTAGTATAAAATATGACCCCGCCATTCTCATTAAAGAAAGACTAATATAATCTGGGAAAACTAATCTCCTAACCCCCGGCAGAAACTCACTGTCAAAATAAGCTGGTTTGCTATTGCTGGAGTAAGCAATATTTACAATTTTATGCTATGTTCTATTTCTATTATAGTGCAATGATTCTGCATATATACTTGATATACTTCCATAAAAATAATGCAGAATGCAATGCAGTAAGAAGTACTATTCATCAGATGCTGATTACTCATGGACATAAACTCAGATGTTAAATGAGGCAGGACAAATAAAAATCTACTTCACTTAACCTAGGAAATAAATCATTATTGTGAACAAGAATGAAAGGATTTATAGATCAATTATACATATTTAACTCCAGTGTGCTTCCTCTAAAGACTCTCACCTGACTTATCTCATCCAAAAATATGAATGCTTTCTAGTATTGTAATTATTCCCATTTATCCATGTCATGAGTCTAGACAGAACAGTTTTCCAAAAGAGCCACAAAGGTTAAGAACCCCAGGCTCTTCCAAAAGAGCCTTACTAGTAGCTAAACATATGTCAATCTTTATTATCCAAACAATACAAACAAAAGGATACAGTATCATTGATCTAATTTAGGACTATGGTGATAGGTTTATGTAAGTGGAAAAAAAAAGAAAAAAACTCAAGAACTTCCATGCCCCCATCTTTCAACTAGGATGGATGTGTGCAGCATAATAGAACAAAGCAGGGGTACTTACAGGTGGCTAATCTATATCGCTGGTTGGAAATTTTTCAAAAATATTTTTGTCATTAATGACTTTTTTGTTGAATGGAAAACTAATTCCAACATTTTCAACTAATTTTGGGGGGCTTTCATAGAAATAAATGAAGAAAAGAAGAAAAGAATATTTATGGCCAAAATATTTCATTTTATCAACCAAAATGTTTGCAAGAAAAATGTTATTGAAACATTGTTATTCATTGTGGTGGTGATGATATTAGGGGGGAGGGGGTGTCTGACATTTTTCATATTGAGGGAAGGAGAATTTGTTCCCAACCAAGAAGGACAAACATTAAGAAATCACAGCAACAGCAAGAACTGAGAGTGTTCAGCAAAAATATGGATATTGGCAGAATAAGGGAGTGAGTAGGCAATAGAAATAGTAGTACTAAAAAAAAATAAAAATTAGAACAACACTTTACAGCCTCTGGGTTTTCTGACCTTAAGACAGGATGGTGGAGCTTGCTATTGTAGAGGGTA